TATCAGAGAACCCGCCCCTGTCCGCCCCCCCCCCCCACAATCTTTTTATTTTTATGAGCATATTAAAGAAATTAGTTTAGTTTAAACCAGTGTAATTTAATGTTTTATAAACCTTGTTTCTATCTATAGTTTGTAATAACATGTATACATGGGAGCAACCATTTTTACCAATCATATATGCAGTCTCTTCTTCCTGACTCACCATGCTAATGTTCTTGTGTACAAATCTGTTTCTTTTCAATCAGGCAGATATTGCATCTGACTGTTTGCAGTCTCTAATGAGGTAAAACATGCACAGTGCTTGGAGTATACAGAATGTGATTTTAGCTGTTTAGACTGTAGGTCATATGAGAGTGCAGTATCTTTTTTTAGTTGATGGCAAGAAGGCAGTTTTCACTCCATTTTGTAGTCTGGTAATGCAGATGTGCACAGATCTTTAGAATATCTCTACATATGACTGGAACCATTTTCCTCCAGTTCCAGGGAACTGGAGGAAAATCAAGTTATAATAGTGTTTCTCCTAATTTGCATTGTGCAGAAACCTTATAGCTAATACATGACTTGTTTTCTTTATTGCAGCTGACAGCCTCCAAGTTTCCAGTGGTGATCAAGATGGGCCACGCACACTCTGGCATGGGAAAGGTGAGTAGGAGGTCACAACCTCGTTCCATAAAATGAGGTCGGTGTGAGGACAGGAAGAACATTGTGGGTCAAGACAAGTAATAGTTCAGATCAACATTACACAATTTTGCCCTATGCATATTTCCTCTCCAAGTGAGACACTGACTTTAGATTACAGTCTTCCTGCCCATGTGTTACATTGTCCTTTCTGTTTCTCTTTTCCCCACCACAAGATAACCAGTCAGGTTACATAGGGGACAAAGGGAACCTAACTAGCTTTGAGCTGCTGTAGAGAACACCATTACCTTCTTAAGGGGATTCCTTCACAACATTCTTATCACTGTTTTAATGTCTTATTGAACGTGTTTACATATTACCAATTTGTAATTACAGTACAGTATTATGTAGACAGTGCAGCACTTTTACTTGCAGGTGCTGACAAAATTTTATGGAATTCAGGAGCCAGCAGGATTTTCTTAGTAGCCAGCTCCATAGACAACTAGAGAAAACCTCAAAAGTCAGGCATCAGCTGTAATTTTCTAGGAGCATTGGCTACCTGGCTCCAGGGATTTGTCCTGCTCTGACTTACGGTATAAGCAGGCTCTCTTTCTTGGTGATGCCCTTGTCCCACTGTCTGTAATGAGGTGAAACACCATGCTTGAAGTAGTCAGAGGCCATTTAATTCAGGCTGTCTAAATTGTAGGTAAATTATTCATGGAAAGAAGGAGACAGCTTCTACTCAATAATGCAGATGTATAGTTATATTGATAGTCGCATTAATGTCATAACTGAAGATTTTTTTAACAGAGGCAGTTTGGTCATTACTGGTGTTTTTTAAAAAGTTTTTTGTTCTTTGGATGTGCTTTTTTTCATGGCTACCCCTACTAAGTAAGGCACTGCTGCAGAAGCTAGTAAGGTTAGTGAGTTACTGACTCAGAAGCCGAATGTAGGCAGAGACTCCTAAGCAGTAATGGCAGACGGATGGGCAGGGCAGCCAGGAAACTAGCCTGGTTGACCTGCTTCCTACTTACTGGTGTCTCTGCACCCCCTGGAAATACTACAGGACCAATATGGGTTGTCCTAAATCTAAACCCTATTGGGACTCTTTACTTCAACTCAATAGGAATATCACAGGTGACCACCTACCAGATGACCCCGCCCTTACCAATCCTTTTCCATGTCACCCACTCTCTATAACACATTATAAATCTAGAGTCACTCCTACTTAATAGAAGCTGCAATAGTAATTCCTCTTCACTGGAGACGGGATCAACCACCATTGATCCCTGAATGGATTAACAAATTGAACAACATACTGGACACAGAGATGGGTCTATCTTTGTAAAGACCAATATGATAAATGCTACAACATTTGGGCCGCATGGTTGCCCTTTACCTCCACGGGCACCCCTATGGTCACACACAGGACATAATATAGATATTGTACCATATATGGAATGCTTAAACTGTTTGACAATGGAAAACCTGTGTTTCGCCTGTAGGGCATACAGTGTTTAAATTGATCCACAAGTTTACCCACACTCACCACCTCCCCTCCCCAGACTCAGACTTTAAGGCTCAGGTG